CTGTATTATGTTTCTTTTATTATACAACATTTTGATTGCATTTTCTTATTACATATTTTAAACTCATGCATACATCGAATACTTCGATGGTTTATATAGAAATTCCAAGATGAAATCATAAGAATGAATTGTCTAATCAGGTATAACCATATTCTTCGTTGCATTTCTTCTGGTATAAGTTTTAATGATGAATATGAATTCTGCTTTCTATTTATTACTTGGCAACACTCAACCAAAATTTTTACGTGTTATTGGCTTAACTATATCTAATTATTTGATAATCGTGATCTTGAATTTGATTCGATCTTTAGATTAACAATCTTTAAACTTGGATATACAGCCAGCTCTCTTTATAACGAACCTCTCTATATAACGAACCTCTCTATACCGAATTCTGGATATAACGACCTAAAAGTTTTTTAAATTTCATATTAGTTCGGTATAAAATGAGTTATGGAAAACATAATAATTTTATATAGTGAACTTTTTTTTATAACCAGAACCAACAGTTCGTTATAGAAAGAGTTGATTGTTTTTGGCTAAAAGTAAAATTTATTGAATAATTTGAAGATTATATTATTAAATGCACGAATGTTTATTTAAAGAATTGATAGTTTTTGAATTTGACACTATTTACCGAAATGGGATAAATATTTTGGTTTTGGTTATGAACCCAAACTAGGTAGAAATACGATTCCTAAACTCAAACTAAGTAGAAACGCCGTAACTAAAAAAAAGAGTTTGAATCGCAACCCTACACTGGGTACCTTGTTCTTCAAACCTCTCAAAATTTGGTTTGTAAAAAGCTAATTATAATGAAAACATCATTACACTGGTTCAAGAAAAAAAATTTGGGTTACCACAAAATCCTGAGAGCTATTTTTTCGAAAGAACATAAATTGGCCTGCATTATAACTAATGCTGGCTAACTTTGTCGGTATTAGGTCCTTTCGGGAATCTGTCATTCGGGATTTAGTGGTAAAACCCTCTTCCAGAAGTTAGTAATTCATCTTTTCAAATACATATTCGAATATATTATGTATGTCATATCATCTTCTAAATGCTGAGAAAAGAGACTAAATTGACAATTTTCAAAAAATATTTTCAAGCCTAATCAACCCAAAATTAGCGAGGAAGAAGTGCTGTTGTATCAATAAAATTTTACAATATAATCTTTTGAAATTTGTATTTTCTTGAATTAGTATAGATTTTATAATATAAAAATCTTTCCCAACCCTTATTTTTGTCAATTTGGTCCCTTTTCCCAGCACCTAGCCCAAATCATGTTGATTAAAATCGACGTAAATATTTTTAAGCAGATCAATAAAAGTTAAAAACTATGCGTTTGCCGCAACTTACGTTAAAGAAAAAAAAAATTACTTTGAAAACAATTTGAAATATGGATTATTCCAATGACATAATGACATACCTGCCATATCGTAATCTTGATATATTTTTAAGTTAATATAATTAGTATTCAACTTATTTATCTGAAATCATACCTTTTTGTGCGGCAATGCCGCGCAGTTGTCTTATTTAAATCTTAGAGCTTGGGACATTTCGAGAAAGTTTTTGGTGCCCGAAATAGGTTTAGACATACTTTCCAAATTGATTGGCCCAAACCAGATTACATTGTTTACAAAAAAAGTCAAAAATTCTGACATCATTAAAATTCAAGACGGAATTTCCTTTTGGCGTAGGAAAAATAAGATAAAAATTATTGGTGGATATCGATATAGAGCATATGTTACCAGGGTTGGAAAATGACTTTTAAATGACATAAATGACATTGTGACATTATCATTTGTCACTTTGTCATTTAGAAGGTAAATGACAAATGACAAAAATAGGTTATATTTAAAAATGCTAAGATCCTGAGATCATTAAGGTTTTGTGTCCCTCGGGTATTTTAGGATTGGTTAAATCCTAAAACACTCGAAGTCTTACTATATTACCGTAAACTGCCATATACAAGACCCCCCAGATATCAGATCCCCATTACTAGACCCGGGTCTATAACGTGGGATAAAATTTTGGTAAAGTGTAGAGACCCGGGGTATACAAATAGGAAAACACCAATAAAATAGAATAAACCCCCATTTATCAGACCCACACCCATACAAGAGACCCACGGGTCTATTACAGGTTTTAAAATCGGTGAAATGAAACAGATCCGGGTCTTGTATATGGCAGTTTACGGTACTTTTAAATGACAAAAATAACAAATGACCTATGTCTTTTGTCACTAATTTATCATTTATCACGAAAATTTTAAATGACATTGTCATTTGCCAACCCTGTATGTTACTGTGCCACGGGGAATTACAAATTTAGCGGTAACGTCAATCATTGTAGAATTTATCAATTAGAGCGGCAGAATTTTATTGCACAGTGTGCATTGTTTGCTAAAATGGAAATAATGAACATAAATATACACTTTTTAAGTGTATAATAATTTTACATTGCGAGAAACATAATGCTTTTGGATAAATATTGAAATCCGGAATAAAACTGCGAGACATGCGGAATAAAATCTGCGAGTTTAAATGTATAAATACTGGCAGTAAATTTTTATTGTAAGATAGTTTTTAATCAACAAAATTTTACTATAACGATGGCAACAAATATCATTAACCCATACTTAATTACAGACGTTTTGATAATAATTCTTAAAAATCTCGGCATTCGTGATTTACTTTCAGCGCTTCAAGTTAATCGAGAATGGAGTCAAGTCGCCGTTCCAATGTATTGGAGGGCACCATTTAGTTATACAAAAAAAAGGAGCTTACTCGCATTAAAGATTTACCGATTGTTTCTCGAACAAAAAAACGATCAAAAAAATTCATCTCAAATAACTATTCCAACGCTTTACGATTATCCATTTTTTCTCAAAGAACTCAACTACACAAACCTACTAGAGCTTGACAAAGAAATTATAAATGTTAAAGCAATACTTAAAATGATGACAGATCGTGAAATTCGTCTAAATACTTTCATTATGGATAATACCGGTACAAATAAAGAAACCATTTACGGATTATGGGCAAGATCATGCTATGCCCCAATATTTAGTTCTCTTGTTCATGTTGAAATACATGCGCCATTTCGAAAAAATGGTGTTATAAAAGCATTAGCAGATAATTGCACCAAGCTGGTATGCTTATGATTATGTTAGATATTCAATGCATAAAATACTACAATAACGATCACTTACAGTAACTACCGTATGTTGATTAATTTTTCTAGTTCCACCTCGATATAAATCTTTATGATAATTCTATTGTGCATAATGAAGAATTGCTCAACGATCTTAGTAAACTCTTTTCTGCTCAGAAACGCCTTTTAAATATTCGATTAATTTTTCCTAATGGACCTGGAAAAATGCTAATTAAAATATTACAATCAAGATTTGAATCCTTTAAACACCTTGAACTTGCAAAGTGGAATTTCAACGATTGCGATTGGAAATGGTTAAAGAAATGTTCAAATTTAACGGAATTTGCAATAACAAACCCTCAAATTCAAGTCTCTGACATTTTAGGTAATAAATACGAAATTCATCGCTTGAAGATATCAAAAAACTCCAAGATTACAACTACGCATTGGTGTTTTGACAAGAATGATAAAATTCCCTCAGTTTCAAACTTTTACTTTCACCCAGTAAAACCTTCAGTGGAGCCATATCATGATGAGTCTGAAGTTGTGATCAAACCATTAGATCAATGATTATATTAAATAGAGACAAATTTTTCGCTTACTTTTTTTTTTTTTTTTTTTTTTGCATACGTTAAACTGATAGTACAGATAGTACACTTCAGTATCATAAATCATATCAAATTTTATCATATTATAGAAAGGCTTTTACATAATTCCTTATCACATTATCACATTTTTATTTAATAATTATATTTTCAAAAAAAATTAAAAAATAAATAAAATAATAAAATAAAAAATAACTAATAAAAATACACATAATAGATAACCTATTTCAAGTTCTCTACGTTAACTTCACAGTATTTTTTATTTTCAGTATTATTTTCTTATTATATCCCTCGAAATGACATTACTATAATTAATGTTGTTAGAACGGCTAGTTTTTATTATTTATTGAGGCTCATCTTTGAAAAATCTATTATAGATAGTTTTTTAGTACTATAATTTCAATTCAATTCATGTGCCACCGTGCATAGGTAATATATTATAATGAAAGTTCATATCAGATACGTGTATAATGTTCAGTGTACTGTGATGGGCACTTGTATGATAATGATCTTTAGAAAACAGGAAGTGACAATCTTTTAATACAATTTTTTTTAGAGATTCTATCATTCTCTCATCACGCGACTAATATGTCAGCTCGAAATCATAATATTCAACCTATAAGAAAAATGTACTGTAATTGTACGAGTTGGTGTTGGTGTGGAATGGCACGAATCAAACTCGGATTTAGTAAGTAAGAGACTCGAATTTAGCATGGATTTTTGACTCGTGTTGGACCGTATACCAGTGCCAATTGGACTGTTAATGACTCGGGTTTTGCAATACTTTACTAGTCCAATTGGCACGGGTTTTAGCATGGACGTACGTAAATTCACGTACCATAATAATAACAACTAAAAACATAAGTTTACATCATTATAATACATATTGAAATTAAAATGATTGCATATGTGTAAAATTTTGCAAGAAATTTTTTCGTTAAGACACCCAGAACAATTTATCGATTAAATTTTGAGATATTGCATTTTTTTTTAATAAAAAACGTTTACTGGTCCTTCACTCTTGAGACACGTGCATATACGTATCGTGCCATGTGACAAAATGTGTCACCACTTTGCCGTAATAGTAATATCCGTGTCATTTTTTACCGTGCCATCACGTAAAACGAGCCTCTACGCGCCACACACCCGTACCATTTCGTGCTTTCCCGAAACCAACCCAAGCCACAACCCATCTGATCATGCGGCACGCGAGCTTAGATAGTGCAATACATAGATAAAATTTTTTCAAAATGGAAATGTGGTTCGTCACGAACAAGACCCGAAATCAAAGAGTCACTTAGCACGTGCCCAAACACCAATTTTAAAGGCAATGATCAGGCAGATTGCCGAAAAAGATTGAGGGGTTAAATGGAGATAGTGGAATATTATTTACAAATAAAACAAATTAAGGCCATAATCAACACTCACTCCAGTTACCACTGTGACAGTATGTTTGTTATTTACAATGCTAATCTTCATGACTCGAATAATTCGAATGAATCGAGTACTCTTCTAGTTTATTTCGCGGTCACGAGTTAACACGATTCCAGTCAATAGATCTTTCCAATATTTCAATAAAAAGATGAGTTTTTATTTATAATTTTTTATATTTGCCTAAGATCCTAACGGTTCAAGATCTCACCGGTATTCAAAATATCATTGATATCTAAATCTTGTCCTCATTAATAATATACATTAGAAATTCCCTATTGCAGATTTTTTAATGGGTATTAGAAATATGTTACATTTTGGTTTATGGGCCAAATTATATTGTTTTTTTTTTCTTTTTTTTAATTACATGCTTATATAAACTGGTAGAGAAACACTTTCATATAAAAATTCAAGGTATATAGTGTATATAATTGAAAATTTAAAGAGTTGATTTGTTATCGTTATACACTAATCTCCATACTCTTAATCTCCATACTGTTCCCAATGGTAGTTGTAAGTTGAAGGATCTTCATCTTCGCAATAAGACCATCGGATTGAATCAGCAGTGATTTGACAATCTGGATGGTTTTCGTTCCATCATGCAGCGAACTTTTCAGGAGTAGTAAGTCCTCTTCTCTTGAGATTGAACCTGAACTTGGGTTCGGGAAATTCATGGGTTCTTTTATAATCCGACTTGAGACAACCTTAACGTTTGAATGAAATGCAAACAATTAGTTTAGTAATTTTTCAAAGTACGCTATTGAATAAACTACATACTGATACTGAGTTCAATTGTTTGTGCTTTATTCTCTTCAGAATCACTAGATTCTTCGTCGGGCGAATAGTAGGATAAATCATTTTCTAAAAAAAATTCTGTTAAATATTTATTAAGTCATTATAAAAAAAAGTGTTGTGCTCTCGATACCTTTCTTCTGGCTCTTTTCTTCGTTTTTTTGATCAGTTTTAGCAGAAGTATTTCGAGCTTTGGTGGTATTCATTATATCTAGTACAAGATTCACTTTCACAAATAAATAATTATTTCACAGTTCAGATTATTTTTCAGAAACCTCATTAACTATAAAACGACTGTCTTCAAATGCAACTTTACCAAGAGTTACAGTACACGTTTGAGAAACAGATATGATTTAATTTATTTGTGATATACCTTGATAGAATAAACTATGCAGTAAGTCAAATTATTACAATATTAACTTTGAGCTAAATTGTGTAATTATTACGATATTACGTAGTTATTGAATATATAAACCCGATTTTTTCAGGTATTTATCAATGTACTGTACAGTATCTATTATATATAGTTTATTATATACCCTAAAATTTTGGGGCATGAACAGTATCAGCAGCGATGCTTAGCACGTATTAGTCATAATGAATCTATCTAATATAGCTTAATTAATTGCAATAAATCATATTTATTCAAGAAAACCACTAACATATATCGATTACTTAAGAGATTGCGTTCTTGATGACGAATATACTTAGCCATTTTAACATTTCAGTAAAGTTTTGCGAAATCCCAATGCTTTAGTTGCTGAATTTTTTTATTTTTTATCAAAAAATAGGAAAACATTGGTTATTGTTACGAACACAGGATTATGGTTAAATATATAAAAATAATGTACACCAGGGCGGAGTGCAACGAAATGTGCGAGTTAAGTGAAGTGTGCAATTCTGGGTTCCATCATATTATTAATGGTGATATATTCAATTTCCTTTATATTCACAGATTTAAAGATTTAACCAAAGATCCTATTTTAGATTGTTATACGTACTATATAGTAATAGTACGTACGTACGCCGCAACAAAATTGGACCGGCAAATCCTCGATTTTGATTGGATAATGGCCGGGGATCTTCAAAATTTTAGCCCACATTACAAAATTGTTTACTAATTTCCTGCCGGAATTAACTTTTTAATTTTTTAATTACAAAATATAAATTCTTAAAAAATAAGCCCGCATTATGGTAAAATTGGCCCAAGAACAATTTTCATTAGTAAAATTATGAGTATTTCCGGCCTAATTTTTGATCGTCGCTCCAGGACCGGCAGATCCTCGATTTTTATTGGCTAACGGCCAAGGATCTTCAAACTTTGGCCCACATTACAAAATTGTTTACTAAATTCCGGCCGGAATTAACTTTAATTTTTTCATTACAAAAATAGAAATTCTTAAAAGACCCAGGAACAATTTTACTGAATAGGCGGTTTGATTTCATTAGTAAAATTATGAGTAATTCCGGCCTAATTTTTTGATCGTCGCTCTTAGCCAATCAAAATCGAGAAT